AACTCATTTTCTCCTCCTGGTGTGGCTCTGTAGCCTAAATACTGGACTGCTAACCACAAGGACAGTGGTTCAAGCCACTGCTCAGAAACCCTATACAGGCTCGCTGTGGGTTGGAACTGACTCAATGGCACATCATATCACCACCACCAACAGCAACTTATGAGGAAGATTCTGTTATGATTCTCTTTTGCAGATCTTGCAACTGAGCCTCAGAGAAGGTAGGCTACTGTCTTAGATCACAAAGCCGAGGGGAAGAGGTAGGACAAAGATCAAATCAAACCCAAGCCGCACAAAAGAAATCTCTTGGATTATACTCTAAATGTCAAAATGCTCTCAAGCTTGTAAACTTTTGCTCAAATTACAATAAAAAGTTACAATGCTCTCAAGACATTTTCTGAAAAATCTCAAGAAAAATTTTAGCATCTTAATGCACCAGACTGCAAAGCCATTTGAACTGCAAGGTCAGCAGTTCAAGCTCACCAGCTGCTCCTCGAAAACCCTATACAGGGTCACTATGGGTCAGAACTGACTCGACAGCACTTTACAACAACAACAAGTGTCCAGAAACTTAGATATAGACTGTTTACCTGCTTCCTTATAAATATATATTTTAAAATTTAGATGCATTCTTTTGATTATCACTGAAACGATGCTAACTGAAGAATTAGCACTGGCAACCTGTTTCTAATCTTCTTCAGTCTCCATGTGGCGATCTCTCTCTGGTCTTGTTATACCTGCACACATGAAGAATGGTTTATTAGGAATTCTTTGGCCCTGGGGTTGATGTGTTGTTATTTGGAAAGGCATCCTGGACCACAGGAAATGTGGTCATCATTTGAGAATACTGGCTGTCCTTTCAAAGTCATAAAGAACCCTATGTGATACTGCAGGATAAGTACTGGACAGCTAACCGTAAGATTGTCAGTTCAAACCCACCAACTGCTCTTCAGAAGAAAGATGAGGCTTTCTGCTCCCATAAAGATTTATAGCCTTGGAAACCCTATACAGGGTCGCTGTGCAGCAAAAAGGACTCATTGGCAGTAAGTGTTCAAACGCATACCGGAAAATAACATGGAGAGGCCCATGACTTCCATCTTTGGGTTTGGACCAAGAAGAGTCAACTTCATAGACATTGATATTGTTGGAAACAAATGCCTAGTGTGGTGTTCTGGGATCACACAAGTTCTTGGTTGGCAGAGTGATGGACGTGCTAGATCCTGCCAGGTAAGATACAACCACTCATTGGGAAACTCACTGGGAACCTTGTGCTCACCTTGCAGGATACTGGGTGTGGGTAGTGGTTGGTGGGTGTGAACCTGGATGGCGCACATGGTTCAGTGCTCCACTCTGACCTGAGAAGTTGGCAGTTCAAACTCACCCAGAGGCATCTTGGAAGACAGGTCTGGAAATGTGCTCGCCAAGGTCACAGTCTCGTAGACCCTGTGGAGTACTTCCACTCCGCACACACGGGGTTACCAAGAGTGGAAATCCAGCAGCAGTGATAAGCAGGGCTCGGGAAAGAGCCTCTGGAGAAATGGAAGTTGGGAAGCAGATCGCACGCTGGGCAGCATAGGTGACCGAGCTGCATGAAGCCTTGCCATGAAACCTAGTCATATGGCCGGAGATGGCCAACCCACTTGTGCCCACAGCATCTTTGAGCCCAAGATGTATCCCACCTGCCTTCCCCATGAGAAGGGGCATCAGAAACCTCTTCAGTTGACAGGCAGGACAGCATGAAGGCTAACAGCCCTCGCCTTTCTGCCAGGGAGGTCTGGATTCCAGTCCTTGCTTGAACACTTAAGAGCTGTGTGACCTTAGGGGAATTATTTAACCTCTCTGTGCCTCTGTTTTCTTAGTAAGAACTGAGCTATAATCATGGCACATACTTCATAGGTTGATGTGGTTACTAAGTGACATGACATATGCAAAGTGCTTGATGTATAGTGAGGAGTCAGCAAATGATAGCTGCTAGTAAACCAGGGTTATATGAAGAAAAATGTGACATCAGGATTGGAGTAAGACTCATTAACAACCTGTGATATGCAGATGATATCACAACCTTGCTTGCTGAAAGTGAAGAGAACTTAAAATACTTACTGATGAAGATCAAAGAACACAACCTTCTGTATGGATTGCATCTCAATGTAAAGAAAACAAAAATCCTCACCACTGCACCAATAAACA